AGTAATTAATCAGACGGAGGAGGGGGGGATTTTTGTCCTCCTCTCTCGTATTGTTTACTTAAAACTCTCGAACCTTCAGGGGGTAAGGGGGCGACTCGAATAACTAATCCGAGACAAGGGACAAAAAGAAAGGAACAGTCTCACATAACGCGCTCGCGCCCGCCACAATGCTGCGCGTACGAAACCCTTTGAACCGGAGCATAGCTGGTGCTGCTGTGCTGCTCCAGCGCGAGAAGTTCGGGAAAGTCGATTACCTTCGCTCTACGCCAAGAGCGGCGCGAAAAACCAGAAAAGCCGGCACGGCACCTGAACGTTGCCTGAACTGCCTGAACAACCCCTGAACGGCACCACCTTCCGGGAGTGGGGAGAGGAAAAGAGAAAGAGAAAAAAAGAGAACGCGCGCGTCGCGCTCGCGTTTGCCATTTTTGTTTTTTTTTTTTTCTTCTTTTTTATCTCTTCCCACTCTCCTGCGCGCGGGGAGGAAAAGGAGGAAGCGCGCCAGCAGACGAGTCTGCCCGTCTGCTCCAGCGCCGCCGCGTGAAGGCGGGGCCGCTCTGAAGGTCGAACGTCTGTGTGTCTATCCGAGAGAGAGGAGAAAAGTCGGCGACGTCACGCGCGGTCACGTGATCGGACCGCCGCATAGCGCTGCGCTGCTGCCGGCGGCGGCAGCAGGCGCCCAGACAAAACACGGCAGCGCGGCCTGTCGCTGACGCCACCACCGCAGCGGCGGGAGAGGAGGACATCGAGCGAGAAAGCCAGGAGCGGGGAGGACGCGCTTTGACGGGAACAGCCTTCCCTCCGTAGTACTCCTTTCCTTCTCTTTACACCGAAGGCTTCTTGGGAGCGTTCATTTCTTACGTTCTCGACTGGGCCGTCTGTGACCCTTTATGGTCGGATATTATTGTTGGACGTTTAGGTTCGCGCGCCTTGCGCGCAGGGTTAGAGGCGGCAGTGCGGAGAGCGCGGAGTTACTTGGGTTACTGGCGGGTGTCGCGAGAGTTGGTCCGGTCGGCTTCGTTGTTTGTATTGCCTTTGCGGCCGACGTTGGTTGTGGCTGGAGTCCGCCGAAGGCCCCACGTTCGCCCACTTCTCTTCCCCTCTTTGCGAAGTGCTGCTGTCTGCTTAGACTTTGCGGCTTCGGGCACGAAAAACGACCAGAGTGTGGCAGTGGTGTGGTGCTTGGAGTGCTACTGTTTATTGTTTTTCCAACCGCAACGGCTGACGGCTGCCGTGCGAGCTCTCGGGATTCTTCGGACGCGGACTTTAGTCGTCGTTGCGTCGCCACCCGGTGAGTAGGGAGCGACTGCCCGGGAAAGTTTTCCGTGCTGGCTGTCAGGATTGCCCGATCGGCACGCGCCACAGGCGTTGCGACGTCTCCGCTGCTAGTGCGGCAAGCCCGAGTCGGCGTGCTTCGCATAAAAGGGCTAACGCTCCGGCACGGTGGCCCCGGAAGAAGACGGCGAAATAGGTTGTGCTCTCGGCGGGGAGTGGTGTTGAGAGCGCGGAAGAGCCTGCCCGCAGCGCCTCTCGGCGGCCGGCCGTGCGACTCGGCAGACGGCGATGAGCATCGCGCAGGATCAGCACCGGCCTCGCGCGGAGGCGGCCCATGAGCGCTGAGGCGCCGTCGCCATGGAGCCGCCGTCGACGTCGGCTCCGCAGCGCAGCCCGCCGCCGCCGGTCCAGGCGGTCGCGGGCGGCGGGTCTACGGGCTGCACCCCGCACCTGAAGCGCGTGCTCAAGAGCTACCAAGCGGCGGCCGTGTCGAGCCTCCAGGGCCCGCCGGGATGCCTGATGGCGGCCGCCGGTGGGTCGCCCGGCTCGGGCGACGACGAGGAGCTACCAGCGCCCGCCCCGTTTCCGATCCAGCAGCCGCCGCTGCTCACGCCCCCGGATCAGTCCCGGTGCAGCGAGCGGTCCGAGACGCAGCTCGAGTCCTACTCCATCTCCTGCTTCTCGGTGGGCGGCGAGCGGCGGCTTTGCCTGCCCCAGATCCTGTCCACGGTGCTGGCCGAGTTCTCGCAGCCTCAAATCAACGGCGTCTGCGACGAGCTACACATATTCTGCTCGCGCTGTAACGCCGAGCAGCTGGACGTTCTCAAGGCAACCGGCGTGATTCCGTCCAGCGCGCCGAGCTGCGGACTCATCACCAAGTCGGACGCGGAGCGGCTTTGCGCCGCGCTCATCCACCAGGGCGCCCCTCCACAGGGCTCCTCCGGCGGGCCCGACCCGGTGCCGGTGTACCACGAGTGCTTCGGCGGGGCGACGGGCTCGTTGGTGCTGGACGCGTACCTGGGGCCCTGCTCGCCCAGTGTGCGCTGTCGCGAGTGCGGATTACTCTTCGCGCCGCGGAGGTTCGTCTGCCACGCGCACCGCGCCCGCGAGAGCCGGACGTGCCACTGGGGCTTCGACTCGGCCCACTGGAGACACTACCTGCTCCTCGACGACCGCGAGCCCAGCGCCGACCTGGGCACTGCCGCCGACGTGCTGGCGCAGTTCAAGGCGAAGTTCGCCGACGACGTCGCCAAGCGGAAACAGGTGAGTCGACCGCCGCTCAAAACAAGGGCTACCCTTTGCTCCCGCCGCCACACGCCATTGCGACACGCCGATACCGCCGCCGTCGTCAACGCGAGCGGCGCTCCGCCGCCGCTCCTGCTCGCACCACGTTGTGTTCGTTTTGACGCCGTCTCCTGCTGAGCCTTTTTATTTCTTTGCCCGCTCTGTTTTCGCGCGCCGTCTGCTTGTTTTCCCCACGCATGTACACGTCGACGGTTTTAGTTTTTATTCGGCTCTTGTCTACTGTTCAGGTTGATCGTTTCGCCTATATTCTCTCTTGTCTCAATTTCGCAACCCGACTAATTCTTTTTTCTGTGTTCAACCGCTCGCTTTTTTATTTTTTGGGTCTTCTCTGCTTTTGGCACGTTTGGCACAGACTTGCGCCCGTTGCTTGAAAAATGCAATAGAATCTGATTACCAATCACTCAGCCTTAAATATAATAATTACCGTTACCAATTGCTTCCGCAAAAAATAAAAAAAAAAAATTAGAAAGGTGGTTTATTACTTTTTTCGTTACTTTACCAGTGACTTGCTCGGATACTTCTCAAGAAAAAAACTAAAATTTTATGTTTCCACAAATTCGTATGGCGATACCGCATTCAATATCCCGCAGTGCCACGTTGTTGTGACCGTTCTAATAAAGAATGACAGCAATGTATTAAATCTCATTAATCAATGAAAAAAAAAAAAAAAAAAAGGCTGCGCACGTTGCCTTTCGTTCTGCTTCGGGTGACCCAAAGTAGAAAATGTTGAGAGCGCAGGTTTTGGAGGAGTGGTTGCGCTGGTGCTGAAGTGCATCGAAGCATTTTTGATTGCCATTCCATCGTGCTTTTGACGTTCCCGACCTGTGTCAAGGTTTGTCGAATAACTGTGTCATCGTCTGATCGTTTCGTCGACACTGCGACTTTTCATTGAGAGTTCATTTCATAAAGAGTCGCCCGCGTTCACAGTGCAAAGTGTTGGCCGACGCTCCGCCAAAAAAACAAAACAAAAACAGCAGAAAAAAAAATTGTACGAACATATTGCACAATCCAACTTTGGTTATAATATATACCCTTTTATATTAAAATGATGAGTAATAGAGTAATTCATTACTGAAATTTTGTAATTACGTTACGATTACTGTCGTGGAAACAAAATTAATCGAAAAAGTAATGGATTACAAGTAGTCCGTTACTCGTAGAGGATTAAACCCCAAGTCTGGTGTTGTTAGCTCGGTGTTGTGGTGTTGTCCTGGCGCTCGCCCAGCGCGCTTGAAGCAATTGGCCAACGGCTCCCCGTCTCCGGCTGTAGCCGACCGGGGGAGTATTTTGAGGATTGGTCGGGAGACGACGATACGAGGAGTCGGTCGGGGTTCTTCGAGCTCGCCTTGAGGACGGGGAAAGCCTTCCCTGCCCCGGGAGACGGACGACGACGCGCTGTGTGCCAACGTCGTTCCCCTTGCACCGTTGATGGCCGCCTCTTCGTTATTTCGAGGGGCGCCGTTTTCGGTGGCGGTGCAGCGCTTCCTGTTGAGCGCACGCAGTCTGCCGGGCACCCGTATTTATCCCGGCGTTATCGATTGCGACGAGCCGGAGCTGCGAGCCGTCCCGTGGATTTCCGGTGTTCGGAACACGCGACTGCGCGCCGCACGCGTTCGCTGCGCTTCTTCGATGGTCGTACGGCGTCCCAGTGACTTTGATGGCTCGTAACGTCTGCTCCGCTCCGCACTATGCGGGACCCGTGGCCCGCATTGTGCCTCTTGGCCTGCTGCAAACGCTCTTCGTGCGTTTTGTTTTCTTTCTTACGATGGCGCAATTATTGTTTATTTATTTTTTTTTTGGGGGGGGGGGGGGGGGGGCGGGAGGTATTGTGTTGCTACCGGGTTCTTTGGCTGTCTTGTGCCCACGACCGCGAGTGCGTCCGTCGAAGGTAACTTTCGGGTGTCCGCGTCTTGTGGCCCGAGGCTCTGGCCGGCCGCGTTACCTGCGTATGGCTTTGCCTCACGTCACGAGCATGTATCGCAATCTTTTAGCATCGTTGTCAAAGCTCCGTGAGAGTATTGTTTATATTAAAGCTAAACCGTTGTTTGCGGGACTCTGTACAGAATTGTCGAAATTGACTTGTACTTTCGCGAAATTTATGGAAAAAAAAAAGGGGGGGGGGGGGGGTTGTTTTGTGGACTGAAATTGTGAAGCAATTAAAGTATCTCCATTTTTTTTTTTGTCGTCCTATTACAATTTAAAAACATTTTCGAGCGTAATATGTGATATATATATATATATATATATATATATATATATTATTTTTTTTTTCTGTTTTGCACAACAATGTGCCCTATTAAATGTAGATGTAATTTACATTGCCAAATATCTTAATTTCACACCGAAGATAGTTGGATCTGGCTCTTGTTTGATCCGAAGCTGTGCGGGCTTTCTTCCTTGCCGAATGTCGCACGCCGGTACTGTACAACTCGTCTCTTTACATAAAAAAAAAAAAAAGTAAAATAGAAACTTTTCGATACCCCTTTTGTTAGTCCTTTTGGGCGAACGCTTTGGTTGCGCACGTTCGGGTGCAGCTGTAATCTGTGTAACTTGCTCCGCCTCACTTATAGTTCTTAGTAAATAAATGAATAAATACTGCAAATGACTTTGTTTTCGATGACCGATCGCTGTTTCGCCCATTTTCCGAAGTTGTGAACGTTTCGCGGGCACGGGATGTTGCGGTTTAGAGTGATGTCTCCGTTACCCTGGACTGATTCGGAAGTTTCACCTAGGGTGTCGCCGCCCTGGCGGTCAACCTCAGAAATGTGAGATTGTTTTGCTGTGTTGGCTCGCAACGTAGGTGACGGAGGCTCACGAGCCACGCCATAACTATTACGCGGCGATAATACAATAAAGGGGCAACGTGCTAGGCTGCTACACCCCACGCGGCAACAACCATGCACGGCCTGCGTCCACTCGTCACTGAATCCGCCGCTCGAGGGGTTGCATGGGTTTCCCCATGCAAGAAGCTTTGCTGCTGCCTGACACTCAAAAATGTGTTTTTCACGCACGGTCTGTGTGGGGTCGGCGGTTGGACGACTCTCACGGAGCTGCCCTGGAAGTTCGGACGTGAAAGTGGCCTTAAAAGCGTAAAAGTCGATGTGATCGATCATCGTCGGTGCTTGCCGAGATGGCACTAGTCCTAAACGAAAGTTGTCACGGTCGACGGATGGTCACCGAGCGCCTGCCATGTGGATTCTGAAGATTAATTCTGACAACGGCGGGTTGAACGTTGCTTTATTTTGGATAGTTAACGTTAGTTAGCGTTAACGACTCGGCCCATTCCGCTCCATCGCTTTTTTTTTTTTCCCAAAAGTTTTAAGATGCTATTTTTGCTGGTGGCGTGTCCCTTCGAATATGCGATTCGGAATTGACGGCGTTGTTTTATTAGTGTACCGCTTGTTGACGATCAACGTTTACGACCTAAAACAAATCGTGACATAACATACATCGCGTTTAACGCAGCTGCGCCTTGTTTTGTGTGGGTGTCCTCAGATGTTCTGGCCGCCCGTGCGACAGAAAACAAAAATCGACTGCCCATCGCATTGCACTTCGTCTCGGAGGACTGAAACGCAGTGTCTATGGCGAACCGCGATCCCCTTCTGACCGCGCCGGTGCCGATACTTTTTTTTTTTTTTTTTTTCATCCTTGCGTTGCGTGGTTTGGAGCTACAACGTGTTTTAAAATGTTTAACTAGCAGTCAGTTCATGTATAAAAAAAAGTCGGTTTAATGAAATGCTGAGTGAAGTCGATCGCAGAGTATTATATGTCGCAAAACACGTCGATTCCCATGAATTGTGATGCCCACGTCTTTTTACCCCCATCTTTGATTTCCGGACCGCCCCCTATATTAGCTGGAACTTACGAACATAGCTTACGAATATTGGCGTATTCTATTTTTCGCGATATTTTCCCAATCCCGAAATTTGCGAAAATCTCAATCCCCGCGAAAATTTTCGTCGTTCACAGTAAATTTTGGTGGATTCTCGGTGTTCTAGCCGAAAACAAAGTACTCCGCCGAACGCGTGAGAGGAGGAAAGAAGGAAACACCGAAATGGCAGGCGCTGTTTCATCGACCGTGATGACGGGAGTGAGAGAGGGTATGGCGAAGGTCGTTTAAGATACAATGTATACACCTTTCCTCTTCTTTTCTTTCTTCCCGGTGTAGAGAAGTTGCGTCGCGTAAGCGGAAATCGTCCGCGGCAGCCAGGCTGTCTTTTACACCGGCGGTGCAAAGGCACAAAGAAGAGAACTTGGCCGCTGATTGCGATATGGGCTTTCCTTTTTTTTTCTCGTTTATTACGGGGCGCGTCGCTTGGTTGAGGAAGAATGCGCATCTTCCGTGATCAGACAAGAAGGGGGCGATTGGCTGCAACCACGGAATTCGTTGGTGTTGGTCGGGACGGGCAGACGCCAGTGCCTCCGCCGCCGACCGTGGATTGAACACGGTGATTACCGCAGTTTTCGCCGAAGAAGCGGCCTCTTGCGCAACGCAGAAGAATGCCGGTTCTCTCACTATTTACTTTTCTTTGTGCGTGCGTGTGTTGATCCATTCATTTGCAAGGTGTAGTGAAACGATAATGGGGAGCTTTGGGTAGGCATTCCGAAACGTTGCTCTTCTCTCCCCTGGATCCCGCTGAAAAAAACGACGATTTAAAATCAGTCGAACTGACATTGGTGCAGGCAAGTCGAAGCTTAAAATATAAAGCCCCGTTCACAGACTAGCGTCTGTTTTTATGAACGAGTTCTTGGGATTCTTACGATGGGAGCAGGACGAGAGAACACGCTGACGCCATCTGTGAGGTGACACCGGAAGCTTGTATCACACTAGTGTGAAGGCTTTGCGGCATTGGCGAGATTAAATTTGCCCGATAAATTAGACTGTCGGGGGAGTTTCGACACTTGAGACCGGGAATGTTTCTTTGTAGGGCTATATCATGTAACGCTGGCGGTTCGTTCATTCCTCGGAGAAGAGCGCCGTCTTCTTTGACAATGGTTCCTGCATGCCCGGACGCCAAACAAGGGGAACACTACCGAGGCACGGATTGAAGACGTTGTGCACGACGCGTGTGACGTCACAGCTGTTACTATGTCCGGCTTGCCGGCGACAGGAACTAGAAAAATATCGACTATAGTTACGCACGCTCGAGAAGCCGACAGGTGTATTTGCGCTGTTGCACTCAACCAACCTTCCAGGTGTTTCACACTTTCTCTTTGCTAACGTACCGGCGCGCTCGGGGTATTTTTTTTTTTTTTTATTACACGTAACATTCGCCTTGTATATATATATATAT